CCCCCAGAACTTAAAACAGTGGTTGGCTTGCCCTAGCTTCTCAAAAGATATTTTAAGAATGGACAGATTCAGGATGCCTGGGTGGCTCAGTCGGTTAAGCAGCTGCCTTCGGCTCAAGTCATGATGCCAGTGTCCTGGAATCCAGTCCCACATGGTGGGGGGTGGGGGGGGTCCTTGCTCCGCGGGGAGCCTGCTTCTCCCTCTGCCTGCCACTCTGCCTGCCTGTACTCTCTCTGACAAATAAATATAAAATCTTAAAAAAAAAAAAAAAAAAAAAGGACAGATTCAATCAGTACCAGGACCAACCCAATCCAGAGAATGGACGTATACCGTTGAAGAAAACAGACCATTTCTAAACTTACAGAGCTTACAACCTAATAGAAAAGTATAAACAAGTAAGCAAACCAAATCTAATTACAATTTGAGCTCTATTCTAGGAAGAAGCAGTCAAGGAAGGGTTAGTTAACTAAGGAGCATTTACATTAAAAGTTGAAAGCCGAAAAAAGAGCAGTCTAAGCCCCTCTATCTTTTAAAGAGACTCCTTTCTGTACTTCAGGTGGACAGCTAGCTAAGCAGTGGATCAACGAGTATATACCGCGTGACTACGATGAGCTCGCGCACGTTGTTAGACGTCGGAAGTGCGGTGAAACATGCAACTAGAGAAGTACACAATTGGTTTCTTCCATATTCTGGGGTGCCTCCGGAGAGCCCCTGCATCCCTGACCCCTCCAAACCCATCCAGGACTCTCCTCTCCAAGGCTCCATCTCAACCCCCCGCGACTCTCCCACCCGGTCTCCAGTCCCAGCTCCCAGGGCTCCTCTACATTCCCCGCCCCCTTCTTTGTCCGAGGTTTCTCTGTTCAGGACTCCTTTTAGCTTCCTCCCCTCCCTCTTCCTGGGCCCGGCTCTTGCCTCCGTGAAACCCCCATAAGTCGTCTGGTAGAACTCATCTTCCTCCTCTGCCTCCAGGAGCCCAGAAAGCCGGTTCCCCGCTGTCTTCCGGGGGGCCCGGCCCCCAGCCAAACTCATCCTGCCTACCGAGACTGCGCCGCTACTAGCGGCCCCTCACCCAGTGCGGCTATCGGAGCTCGGCGATCGACACCACTACCTGCGGATGGCAGGCGGCGGCGGAAGCCTCTGGTCCACAGGCAGACGTAGCAGAGCGTCGAGAGGCTTCCAGTTGCGTCTGCCAAGCCCTCTTCACTCTGCAGCCCCGCCCGCTGGGAACACCGGGACCACCCCAAACTCCCTGCCCTAGCTCGCGCGGACCTGAACTGTGGAATGATTGGGTGTCACCAGGAGGCTTAGTACCCTAAGTCCAGAATTGGGGAGTCAACCAATTTTCATTTAAAAGAGGTCAGACCCCCCTCTGCTCCAGTCCGTTTTCCATTCTGCTTCTAGTAGTGAACGTTTTTAAAAACCCAGACTTTGTCTCTCTTCTACTCAAAGATCTTTAATGGCTCCCCGGCATCTTCAGGTTAAAGTCCAAAATCCTTGAGGCGGAATAGTAGTGTGGTTAAGAGCATAGCTTTAGAGGCAGCCAGACTTGAATTTGAGTAGAAGTTAGTATTCTGGCTGTGTGATTTTGGACAAGTGGCGGAATCTCGGTTTTCTCATCTGTAGAAGTGCAACTAGGGGCATCCGGCTGGCTCAGTGGGTACAGCATGCGACTCTTGATATCGGGGGTCTTGAGTTCAAGCCCCACTTGGGCCTGGAGCCTACTTAAGAAAAATAATAAAATGGAACTAATAATATCTACCTTTTAAAGTTGTTGAAAAAGGAGTGGGAGGATAGGGTGGTTGGGATAGGGATAGGGTGATGGACATTGGGGAGGGTATGTGTTGTGAGCACTGTGTATTGTGTAAGACTGATGAATTACAGACCTTACTCATGAAACAAATATATAAATAAAGTTGTTGAAAAGGGTAAGAGAGGGCGCCTGGGTGGCTCAGTGGGTTAGGCCGCTGCCTTCGTCTCAGGTCGTGATCTCGGGGTCCTGGGATCCAGTCCCGCATCGGGCTCTCTGCTCAGCAGGGAGCCTCCTTCCCTTCCTCTCTCTCTGCCTGCCTCTCTGCCTACTTGTGATCTCTCTCTGTCAAATAAATAAATAAAATCTTTTTTTTAAAAAAAAGGTAAGAGATATAATCCTTGTAAATTGCTTCACACAGGATTTAGTAAGCATATAGATGGTTAGAAGGTGGTAACTACAACTAACATGGCATTCAAAATCCTAATAATTTGGCCTCTCCCTGTCTTTCTAGCCTTACCTCCTGCCCTATCCTATCCCAGCATCACTTCCCAATTCTCTGTCGTGCCTGCATGCTTTTCCTTCTCCTGAGGATTCTTTCCCTATCTTGTATACCTGGCAAAATTCTGGTTCTATAAGATGGGGAAGTCTTCTTACTCACCCACCTCGCTTCCTGGTCCTGTGATATGGTCTGACTGCTTTCCATGGCCCTTTCTGACAGGTCTTCATTCATTTACTTATCAAATATTTACTGCATTCCATAACTCTGCCCATAACCATGGAGACCATGCCTCCTCCATTCTCCAGAGTAGTTTTAATCTCATACAGTCTGTGGTATTTTCAAGACCCTTTGTCAACTTCTTTCCCCATCTTTTACATTGAAAATGTGGTTGTCAAACCATAGCAACTGTATGTACTCAATGATGGCAGCTATTACATTTTATCCTAATGATTTCTATGTATATTTTATTAGCCTGTGACCTTTTGAGGGCATGGACTTTATCTTCCTCTGTGTATACCAGGAACTCTCATAGTGCCTAGGATATAGTTGGAGCTAATTAATATCAATTCAATGAATGAATTAATGAATGGCTATTGAATGAATAAGATACCCATCCTCTTATTTTGCATCTAGGTTGATCTTGCTTGCCTCTAGCCCCTCCATTCCGACCTTAGGAACTGTTATGAAAGTCACTTTAATAAAGCTCTGTGTGTGTGTGTGTGCATGTGTGTGTGTGTGGCACACAAGCACATTATATCTGTTAAGTTTGTATATGTTAAGTTTCAGATCGCCAGATTGCTCTGCTTTTCCAAAATATATATTGGTCAACTCCCTTCTCAATTTCCTTGGGGGCACCAAGCCAACATGTCCTGCTTTGCCTCTGCTTCCACACCCTGCCACGTCACCCCGGTTCTGCTATGCCAGGAATGTTACTGGGGAAGAGTGGTTCTGTGACTCAGAGGACACCCCAGGGATTGAGTGGGAGTGGAGGCAGAGACAAGGTATGGGAGAAAAGATGGGAGACACCTCTAGCCCCACTTTTTGAATTTTGCATTCATCCATTCACATATTCAGGAGACACGTATTATATACCTACTTTGTGCCAGGCAGTATTTTAGAGGCTTGAGATCTAAAAATGGATAAGATGTAATCTTTGCCCTGAAATGTTTAATCTTAGGAGGGAGACAAACTAGTAAACAGTCTGCCATAATACAAGGTAGTAGGAGTAATAGTCGCCATTTTCTGGTACATAAAGAGAAATAAAGATCCATAAGAGGCTACAAAACAGGAATCTCCTCTTTTCAGGAGGGCTGAAACCAAATTCGCTGATCAAATCCCAGGGAGAACATCCCCCCGTTTGACCTACTGCCTTGTGAATCAGGACTTTATTGGTCTCTTTCCAATTCTAAAAGCAGAAACAGCTTTATATCTACACCAGATGATTTCTAAAATAACTCAGGAAATGGTAGCAGCTCCATCCTTTTATGAAAACAAGGATAATTTATTCAAGAAATATTTATTGACGATCTGAGTGAAATCCTATGCTAGACAGTGTGCCCCCAACTGTTTAGTTGGCTGCAATTGTAAAATACTTAAGTGTCACACAATTCCATTGCTATGGGATGAAATGTCAATCCAATCATGTGAAGTTTGTCTACCTTCAGCATCCAAAGGAATATGAATAATCCAGCAGGTGGCAGCAGGGAAACAATTATTTTTGTCTTGATTTGCGAGAGGTAGAAGGCAGCGTTAGTCTGGGCTTTCCGGTCCTAGGTTCCCTTTCTAGAATCTGGAAGACACCCGGATAGAGGATAACCAGACCATCTTGGGCGCTACAAAAGCGAGACCCCCCCCCCCATTTCTCTAAATTTATTAATTCCATAAATAATTATTAAGCCTCTACCATGTGCAGAGTCACAGATGGGAGAAGCTGGAAATACAAATGTGAAACAGTGTTTGCTTACAGTCTGATCAAGGAGAGAGAGGTCTTAAGATCTCTACCTAGGTTCACAAACTCTAGGGTACTTTGTTAAAACTGAGTAGTGTTAGTCCACACACTAGACTAGAATGGGTAATTCATTGTGTCTCCATGCTCTTTGGTGCACAGATTAACAGAGTTAAAGAGCTAAGGGCTTGCTTGGATGGCGGGAAGACTGTGATATGGTCTGACTGCTTTCCATGGCCCTTTCTGACAGGTCTTCGTTCATTCATTTATCAAATACTTACTGCATTCCGTAAGTGTGCCCAGGGCTGCGTTTGAGGCAGTGTAGACCTGTTTTGAATGTCATTCAGAGGCAGACTAGACTGCCGAGCACGTTACAGTAAACAAAGCAGTAAAGCCGGAAGAATACTTAGTCGCAGGTGATGTTTTGTGACATCTGAGTGCTTAATATCTTTGTCTCGACGAAGAGTGCTTTTGTCGGGAGTTCTTCCCTGGGCTCTAAAATTGAGGGCCGGCAGAGTAGACTCACTTATCCCCAGCTCCGGCAATTCAACCGGGTCCTTTCGCAGAGCGGAATATAAATTGACCCACTGAGCCACCGTAGGGACAGTCTACAGTCGGGAAGGGGTTGTCTTGGACGGGTGGATTCGTTAGGGCGTGGGGAGCCCGTGTCATATGACCAGTAGCAGCCTCCCCTATTGGCTCTCAGGGGCCACCCTCTCTGCCCAGTCGAGTGGGCTGAAACGCTGGAGAGGTTAAGCGCATGCGCAGTTCTCGGATTTCCCTAGCCACCCAGAGTGGAGCGGTGGGGTTGGGCGATACACAGGCTGTGGCTAGGGAGGAGGGGTGGGGGCGTTTGTTCCGTTGGGACTTTTCACGCCCTTTTATTCCTTTAGGTGTGGTTAGGTTCAGCGGCTTGAGCGAGCGTATTCTCTTGTGAAAGAGGAAAGTAGCTCCCGCGGAGAGCGGTCGAAGTTGCGGAGGGGTGCGAGACAGGAGTTCTCCCCTATGCCAGCCAAATGGTGCGGCCCTGAGCTGTTTCACGACCCGGCCGGACGAGTCTGAGAGAGGCCCCGGAGGGGGCAGGGAGGCGGCCCGCAGAACGCGGGTTCTGTGAAGAGACGTGGAGAAGATTCGATTCGGAGAAGAGGAAGAGCCCGATTGAAGGGGAGCGAGGCCGCTGAGGGGGAGGGGGCTGCCAAGATGGCGTCGTCCTCCTCTGGGCCGTCGGCGGCCGGGGTTTCAGCCTCGGATCCCGCGGTCTCTTCCGGCGCCTCTTCCTCAGGTAATCAGGGTGGGGCGTGGGCAGGGGTCTGAGGACTGCTGGTGCGATGGGAAGGAGGGCGAGACCTGGGAGGGCACCTGTAACTGGGGATGTCCGAGGAGTTGCCGGTAAGGAGGACAGAGGCCGGGCTTTCAAATAGGAGGGCTTTCTGAGCGGGCACGGGGAGTCTGAGGAAAGGATGGATTTGGTTGAGGAGAGGGTGACTGTCAAAAATACTGTCTTCAGGAGACCGAATTGAGGACTTGAAGTAGTAGGGTTAGGAGGGGATGGAGATTGTAAGTGGGGGTGGGAGGGAAACAGAAGAGAAATCGAAAGGAACGGACAAAACTAAAATAAATGGAGGCTTCATAAGTAGAGGAATTAGTGTGAAAGGCAGGTGGAACCCAAGTTGATTGTGGGGTTAATTTGATGAACCTGTGGGAGAGAAGCCATGGAGTTGAAACATGTTTAAGAGTTAAGTGACGCTTTCTTTCGATTTGCTGTGGAGTTAGGGAATTGTGGATTTTGTTGGGGGTGGGAGTTGAGACCTCTTTTTCCTTAGAGACTCCCCTTCATGCGTCATTCCTTCTCACTTAGTGCCTCCCCCCCCGCCACGCGCACGCATTTGTACACACCTATATGTTATATCAAACACCCTACTTCGATGATTCCCATTTCTAGACTGCCCACTTTTGGGAAGGAATGGAACGTTTTGAAGGAAAGTGGAAAAAAGACCCTAAAAACAGATGGAGAAGGTGGAATGATGCATTACAGGGTGAGAGAGGTTATGTTGAGGATTAGGCCTGGGACGGATGGTGTGGTTTGGGGAGGTGGTTCTGCGTGCTGTGGGAGAATATTGCATAATAGGAAATGGACTGGAAGAATGCTTAGGCTGTATCAGGAAATTGGCACTTGGAGAATGGAGCCAGGGAACATAGCTCAAAGTAGTTAGAAACTATTGGAGATTGAGGGACTGCCGAGGAGCCACAAGAAAAGCAACAGATTGTGTGTAGGAGGAAAAATGTGTATAAGTGTGGGGAGGGGGTGGAGATTGAGTCAGAAACTGTTCTAGAGCTTCCATCAGAAATGTCTGGTGTTCCATAGTGACTGTTGCTTCTAAACTGTGAGCAGGAGAGGCTTTCAGATGGTGGATGCTGTACTTGAGATGAATTTCCTTAGGCCTGGGATGTCATCCTTGCCTTTTGAATTGGCTATATAGAAGGTTCTACCTTTCATATTTCAGCTGGGTTGGGTACCACTATATGGTCACAGATACTTTCTTCATAAGCTGCAGTTTTATTTATGTGCATCTATTTTTAGTTTCTTGAGAGGTGATTTTTGCCTTTCCTGTAAAAGCATGAAAGGACCAGATCAACTCATGTTGCATTCTAAGTGTGAAGAATGAAGTAAAGTGACAGATTTTGTTTTTATAGAGTAGTTCCTTAATTTAAGACCTTTTCTTCTTCCCCCAGTGCAGAAAGAACAATGGTTGTGTGTAGTCATTAAACTTAACTATCAAGTTATGTGTTCTATTAGAAACTAGGTTAACCTTAAAAGCCATGTGTTTATATCCCAAAATTTGATTCAGTACGTGTCTAATGGAAGTACTGGCCATGTGGACAGATTTAGAAGTAAAGGAAGTAGTTCTTTGTTACTTACTGATACATTTTTCTCCTCTTCCATCTCTGCTCCTGCTTCAGATAGTTCTATCTTTTTTAGATGTCACCGTATGGTATTTTTTTTATGTTTTTCTGCCAGATCCTAGGGTTGGCAGTTAATAATTCAGATTGCGTAAATGTTTTGGTCCTGTTTTGTTTTCCCAAGAAAATAAAATTAATAGGTTTCAGTGGACTTTACAGCTCCTTGATTCTGCTGTGTTCATATGAGAAGTCAAGGTATAAAAAATATCTAAAAATAGTTTTAGATTCCTGTTTTTACTTTTGTTTCTTACAGCTACCCTCTTTGCTCCTTTGACAGTTATTGAAGCAATTGTATTAAGAAGTTAAGAAAAATTAAATATTTCTGAAAACCTGATGGGATTTTTGTGTCCAGATACACAGTGTTGACTTTTATTTGTGTGTCTGCACTTTCACTTAGGTTTGGTCTTAGTAAATTTAATTTAGTAAGATAATTCATTTTAAGGGTATGATTGAAGACAATAGAATATTTGATTCTGATCCAAAAAAGGCTATTAAAAATGGGGTTTATTTGTCTTTACATTTTTTTTTAATGGGTTGTATTTGTGACTGGAGGTGAGTATTGCTGTATCTGGATGGTACCAGGAGAATTAGGACATTGACAGGAATGAGTGATGGTTTATGGTTTCCTAAATTGTTAAAGGCAAGAAGGCTGGCCTTGTAGAAATTCAGGGTAGGGAGGGTGTGTGTGTGTGTGTGTGTGTGTGTGTGTGTGTGTGTGTAACCATTCTAAAACCAGCTTACTGTTCTGAGGTGTTTAGCTGAATTCATTTAAATTTGGTGAAACTCTGAAATCCTGAAGGCAAGATTCTTTGGCAGTGTTGAAAATAGATTCAATATAAGAATGTTAGGATTCAGGGACAGATTGATCTTTTAGATAAGCCACTCATAACCTTTGGAGGCTCAAAATCTTTTGGCTTTCAAATTAGGAAGGACAGATTATTTAGAACAGTTGTTACTGTCTAGATGTTTTCACCATTAAGGCACCAGTAAGCTGGTCTTTTATACTGCTGACAAGTGAAATACAGATGGTAGATCAAACCATATGTTCTAAGAGATGTTTGACATCTTTTCCCATTGGAGTAATTTACATGTTTGGATTTGCAGGGAGGCAGTTATAAATGAATATCAATTTACAGAAGTCATCATCATGTGTTTGTTCTTATACTTTGTTTTTGTTTTTGTTTTTGTTTTTTTTTAAAGATTTTATTTATTTATTTGACAGACAGAGATCACAAGCAGGCAGAGAGGCAGGCAGAGAGAGAGGGGGGAAGCAGGCTCCCTGCCGAGCAGAGAGCCCGATGCGGGGCTCGATCCCAGGACCCTGAGATCATGACCTGAGCCGAAGGCAGCGGCCCAACCCGCTGAGCCACCCAGGCGCCCCTGTTCTTATACTTTGTTAATAAAAACTGATGCAGTTTGCCATCCAGTCTCAGCTGTTAGGTGTGTAAAGGAAATTTATTCCTTCTTTTGCTTTCTCCCCCATCCTCATTATTTGGACAGTGACACCACTTAAAAATAAAATTAGCCCTGAAGAGGTGCTCTTGACAGTATGACCATCTGTCATACCAGTGTGTGGAGAGTCTGTTTCCCTATCTGTAATTGGCCTAGTTTATCAAGATCTTGAAATTCAGGGGCGCCTGGTTGGCTCAGTTGGTAGAGCATGTGACTCAATCTTAGGGTTGTAAGTTCAAACCCCACATTACTGTGTAGAGATTACTTAAAAATAAAATCTTTTTTTTTTTTTTTTTAATTTTATTTATTTGTCAGAGACAGTGAGATAGAGAAAATAAGTGGGGGGGATGGGAGAGGGAGAAGCAGGCTTCCCACCGAGCAGGGAGCCTGATGGGGCTTGATCCCAGGACTCTAGGATCATGACCTGGGCTGCAGCCAGACACTTAATGACTGAGCCACCCAGGCACCCCAAAAATACAATCTTAAGGAAAAAAGAGAGAGAGAGAGCTTGAAATCAGCTACTGAGTCCTTTTTTTTTTTTTTTAACCGCAGGGAGGGAGTGAAGACTTTCTGTTTGGGAGACTTGATTTGAAGTTTGAAGGAGTTAGAAAGTTAGAAAGTAAAATTAGAATGCTAAAGCTCTTCTGAAATAAGAGCTGTTTGATAAAATCACATGTGATACCCCTTCTAAGGAAAAAGCACTTGAAACATTAGAAGATCATAAACCTATAGTTGCTTTTTACTTCAGAACATTTCTGAAATTGTCACCCTTTACCTATATGATTTTATCATGAGCACAAATGATTTGGAAGTAACTTTACAGCTCCTTTCCGACTGTATTTTACTTAACTACTTTGGGCAATCCCAGAGGACACAGGACTGAAGCATTTTTAAACTTTTTTTTTTTTTTTAAAGATTTTATTTATTTTTTTGACAGAGAGAGATCACAAGTAAGCAGAGAGGCAGGCAGAGAGAGAGAGGAGGAAGCAGGCTCCCCACTGAGCAGAGAACCCGATGTGGGGCTCGATCCCAGGACCCTGGGATCACAACCCGAGCCGAAGGCAGAGGCCCTAACCCACTGAGCCACCCAGGCACCCCCAGGACTGAAGCATTTTTATTTGGGACCTTTATCATAGGGCCAGCCTCATCAGTCCCTGATTCTGGTGGTTTTGTTCTTTCTAGAAGAGCTTTACCAGTAAATTATGCTCTAATCTGATAACACCAAATGGTAGGGGTTTTGTAGTTTTTTTTTTGGTCTGTATTCTTTGTATCTGGTGTAAAACATTTGTAGGCTGATCCTTTTCCCTTCCCTTCTTCCATATTAGTGAAAAGTAATACAATTTAAGCCACTTTACTAGAGTGAGAAACTGAAATTTGGAAATTTAAAAATAGAACAGAATATCATGCAGTTAGAATATCACCAGGTGCCATTTTGGACGACATTTTATAAGTAGGGAGAGAGGTTTCTGTTTGTTTTTTACATGGGGGTTTTGACACTTTTTTTTTTGCCAGAAAACTGACACCAGAATGTCTTTGTTTTTGATTAACCATTTATCTTTTTTTAATTATTGAAAAAGATTTTATTTATTTGAGAGAGAGCGAGAAAGTGCAGTGTGCACACAAGCAGGGAGTGGGAGCAGAGGGAGGAGAGAATCTCAAGCAGAATCTGCACAGACCGTGCTAAACTCAGAGCCTGAGGCCAGGCTGAATTCCAGGACCCCAGGATTATGAAGCCAAAACCAAGAGCCAGAGGCTCAACTGACTGAGCCACCCAGGCACCCCTGATTAACCATTTATTTCTGCCATGGCTGCCCAAGCCTAGTCAAGTATGATTATATAGACTCATTAAGTATCCAGTATCTGATAGTA